AAGGAAGGAAGGAAGGAAGGAAGGAAGGAAGGAAGGAAGGAAGGAAGGAAGGAAGGAAGGAAGACAGGCAAATATGTATTAAAATAGCTAAGCTATTATGTGTTGGTGTGTTTGCACATATGGATGGCAGTGAGTGCTAGGAAAGTGTATCACAAAAACTAGGTCAGGAATTTAAAAAATTATCATATGAAATCTGAGAAAGAATGGGCTGTTAAGAATTATTAAAGCCTTGCTGAAGGAAATCTGTTATTCCGAATTTATTAAAAAATTTAATTTTTAGCCACATCGAAATTGAACAAAAACCTTTGCCATTTTGTGCTTTGAAGTTCTGTGCTTATTGCAAGGAAAGGCTTTCACTATATTTAATGTTATAATAAATGCTCTGAGAAATGTTGCCTCAGGAAATCTTTATAATAAATAGAAAAAGACAATTACTCTTGCTGGTCTGTGGTTTTACTTATCTACTGAACTGCTAAGTCATAAGAATTAAGAGTCTGATGGGTGAAAATTAACCATCGGTTGATTTCAAAAACCTAATTAGATTATCGCCTCGGGGCCTTTAGTTAAATCGTGCATATAAAGAGTGGAACATCCCTATAAATAGAGCTCATCCTTGATATTAGCCTAGAAGAGAATATTGGTGAATTAATATGAAGCAATTAGGGGTTCCAGCCAGATCTATGTCATCTGTGCTTAATGGGAGAAAGTCACGGAGCACGTAATACAAAAGAAAAGTTGATGCAAAAATATTTGTATTTAGCCTGGAGTGACATAATATTTTAGTACATGTAAATAACAGAATAATTTTTTCCTAAATCTATTTCAAATCAGTAATTATTCCATTGGCATATATCAAATGATGTAAAGAGAGACGAGACCAGCCCACAGAGAGGAGAGGCACTGTCCCTGGAAGGAATGATTTGACAGGAACAGAATTTGTTGCCCAAATTATTGGTGGGATCACTAAACCATTTAGAGAAGCACACACTAGAGCAGTTCAAGGACGGGGTCTTGGGACCGAAAGGGGAGACTCTGCAGGGCTTGCCCTTCGCAGGGCCCAGGCAGAGGAGAAGGGGAAGCAGGTTCGGGGAGAGGTCAGCAGGGCTGGAAACTGCCCACAGGCCAAAACAGTGCCTCCAACAGCTTTCTCATGCCCTCTTCTCGTTTTCCCTCTAATCCTGTCACCTTCTCTAAAAGCCAAGTCTTGAGGGCTTCGTGCCCCCTCCTCACCTTTCTATTGACTATCTCTTTGCCTTTTCTCTTTCACTCAAAATGCCCCCCCCCACCGTGTCCCCTTGGCTCCCCTGTCCCACCTCCACTCATCTCCCTCCCACAGCCCCTTGCCGTCACCTTCCC